CCTGTGTCTCTCCAGGACCACCACCCCAGCCTTCCATCTGGGCAGTTCCAGGAGCTGTGGTTTCCAAAGGTAGTGATGTGACCATCTTCTGCAGGGTCCCTCCAGGATTGACCACTGTTCTTCTAGTCCGTTTTGTACCCAGTACTTTTTCGCATGATGGTACCCCACAGGGAGCCCAGGAGGTGTTTGAATTCAGTCTGAAGAATATAACACAAAGTAATGCTGGGGTTTACTACTGTGACTACCTTAGGGGAACTAACTGGTCACGAAGTAGTGACAGTCTGGAGCTGGTGGTGACAGGTGAGTAACTGCCTAAGAACACTGTCCTTCAGGCTCAGTCTCTGATCCAACCTAACTAACTACATATGCCCCATCCAAGGCCCTGCTCTGCATCTCTGCTCCAATATAGTGATCTCTTCCCTTCTCTCTTCTCTCCTTTCCTCATTTTCTTTTTAATTTCCATTTTTCTTGACAACTTGATTTTCCTGAAAACTTGATTTTCAGTTTTTTTGAGACAAGTTCTCACATATTTCAGACTGTCCTTGAACTTACTGTATAACCAAGCATAATCTTGAATTTATGATCTCTCTGCTTCTATTCTCCTAGTGCTGGTGTTGTTGACCTGATTTATGACACCATCCATATGCTGATAGACATAGAATATGGGGCACTGTGTATATTAGGTAAATTAGGCAAGAACTTGACCAACTAAGATTCAACCGAAGACCTTCTGCTTTGGTGTGTGATCCTCAGTCTGTCCTGACCATATTGCAGCCTCTCTTCTGAGTGGTGATCATATTGCCTAAGGGATGGAGTTAACAGGAACTGACAGGGGCTTTCTGTCTATGTAGAGCCGTTCTGTGGTGCTGGTTCATAAAAAATAATACAAACATGTTTTGTGATCCCTATAGATTAGCAGTAGATGAGTTTCCTCTTGTCTTCATCTTTCTTTTCTCTGGTCAGACTCTGAACTGTAGGCTCATTGTTAATCATGTTTTAAATAACAGAGTTGTCCTGGCTAGTTTTGTGACAACTTGACACAAGCTAGAATCATTAGAGAAGAAGGAACCTCAGTTGAGGAAATGCCTCCATGAGATCCAGCTGTAGGGATTTTCTCAAGTTGTGATCAATGGGGTGGGTGGTGCCATGGCTGGGCTGGTGATCCTGAGAGGACCCTGAACTTTCCATAGGGCAGGGAACCCTGACTGCTCTTAGGACTGGAGAGGGAGGCGGAGAGGAGTGGAGGGAGGGGGAGAGGGGCAGGAGGAGGGGGAGAGGGGAGGGAGGAGGGGGAGAGGGGAGGGAGGAGGGGGAGAGGGGAGGGAGGAGGGGGAGGGAAATGGGAGGCAGGAATTTTTTTTCTCAATAATAAAAATAACCCCTCAAAATAAAGAAAAAAAAAACAGGCTGAGCAAGCCAGGGGAAGTCAGTTAGCAGCACCTGTCCATGGCTTCTGCATCAGGTCGCACCTCTAGTGTCCTACTCTGCTTGTCTTCCTGTCCTGACTACCTTCAGTGATAAATAGCAATGCTGAAGTGTAAGCCAAAGAAACCCTTTCTTGCCCAACTTACTTTCTGGTCATGTTGTTTCATAGCAGCAATAAAAGCCCTAACTAAGAAAAGTTTTTTTTTTCTTTTTGAGACAAGGTCCCACTTGTTTCAAACTCTGACTGCCTTTGAAACTTCAGTATCAAGCAGGATGTTTTTTTATTTCATTTTATTCTATTTTATTTATTTATTTTGGCCTGGTCCCTTATTTATTTATTTAGTAACAAAAAGATTTAATTCGATGCTCTGCAGGAGAGACAGAGATGCTAATTGCCCACCTGAAGGTCAAGGTTAGTTTTTTCCCTAATAATATTTTTATTACTTTATAAAAAATACCATTCAAAATTTCCACTTCCTCCCTCCCACACCCCTCACACTCCCTCACTCCTTCTTTCCCTTCCTCCTCCAATCCTAAGAGAGGGCAGGTTTCCCTGCCCTGTGGGAAGTCCAAGGCCCTCCCCCTTCCATTCAGGCTTAGGGAGGTGCGTTTCCAAATAGAATAGGATCCCAAAAAACCAATACATGCATTAGAGACAAATCCCAGTGCTATTATCATTGGCTTTTCAGTCTGCCCCAATTGTCAGCCACATTCAGAGGGTCCAGTTTGATCCCATGCTCGTTCAGTCTCATTCCAGCTGGATTTGGTGAGCTCTCATTAGATCAGGCACACTGTCTTAATGGGTGGACCAACCCCACATGGTTCTGACTTCTTTGCTCATATTCTCCCTCCTTCTGCTCTTCAACTGGACCTTGGGAGCTCAGTCCAGTGCTCTGATGTGGGTCTCTGTCTCCATCTCTATCTGTCACCAGAGGAAGGTTCTATGGTAATATTCAAGATAGTCCTTAGCTTGACTACAGGACAAGGCCATTTCAGGCACCCTCTCCTCCACTGCCCAGGCTCCTAGCTGGGGAAATCCCCATGAACACCTGGGAGCCCCTCTAGAGTTAAGCCTCTTGCCAACACCACAATGCCCCCCTTAATTAAGATATCTTCTTCCCTGCTCCCATTCTTCCTCCATCTTAATCATTCCACTTCCCCAAGCTCTCCCCAACCTTT